AAATGACTCTGTAGATAAATACTGATTTACTTGTCTGTAAATTGGATTAAATGAACAGAATGTAGAGAGTCTAAGATTTTTAACGATGTATCACCTGCCCACGGGAAATATCGGCCCATATCAGCAAGTATATCGGCCGATAGCCGATATGCCTCCAGGTGCCCATATCAGCAGATAATATCGGCCAACCGATATATCGGTCGGGCTCTAGTTGTGTTGTGTGTATGATGTGTGTGTGTGTATGATGTGTGTGTGTGTGTGTGTGATGTTGTTGTGATGTAAAGTGTGTGTGTGTTGTGTGTGTGTATGATGTGTTGTGTGTGTGTGTTGTGTGTATGATGTGTGTGTGTGTGTGTTGATGTGTGTGTGTGTGTGTGTGTGTGTGTGTGTGTGTTGTGTGTGTGTGTGTGTGTGTGTGTGTGTGTGTGTGTGTGTGTGTGTGTGTGTATGTGTGTGTGTGTGTATGATGTGTGTGTGTGTGTGTGTGTGTATGATGTGTGTGTGTGTGTGTGTGTATGATGTGTGTGTGTGTGTATGATGTGTGTGTGTGTGTGTGTGTGTGTGTGTGTGTGTGTGTGTGTGTGTGTATATGATGTGTGTGTGTATGATGTGTTGTGTGTATGATGTGTGTGTGTGTGTGTGTGTGTGTGTGTGTGTGTGTGTGTGTGTGTGTGTGTGTGTATGATGTGTGTGTGTGTGTATGATGTGTGTGTGTGTGTATGATGTGTGTGTGTGTGTGTATGATGTGTGTGTGTGTGTGTATGATGTGTGTGTGTGTGTGTGTGGTGTGTGTGTGTGTGTGTGTGTGTGTGTGTGTGTGTGTGTGTGTGTATGTGATGTGTGTGTGTGTGTGTGTGATGTGTGTGTGTGTGTATGTGTGTGTGTGTATGATGTTGTGTGTGTGTATGTGTGTGTGTGCGTGTTGTGTGTGTATGAATGTATGTATGTGTGTGTATGTGTGTGTGTGTTGTATGTGTGTTGTGTGTGTGTGTGTGTGTGTGTATGATGTGTGTGTGTGTATGATGTGTGTGTGTGTATGATGTGTGTGTGTGTGTGTGTGTGTGTGTGTGTGTGTGTGTATGATGTGTGTGTGTGTGTGTGTGTATGATGTGTGTGTGTGTGTGTGTATGATGTGTGTGTGTGTGTGTGTGTGTGTGTGTGTGTATGTGTGTGTGTGTGTGTGTGTGTGTGTGTGTGTATGATGTGTGTGTGTGTGTGATGATGTGTGTGTGTATGTGTGTGTGTGTGTGTGATGTGTGTGTATGATGTGTGTGTGTGTGTGTATGATGTGTGTGTGTGTGTGTGTGTGTGTATGATGTGTTGTGTGTGTATGATGTGTATGATGTGTGTGTGTGTGTGTGTGTATGATGTGTGTGTGTGTGTGTATGTGTGTGTGTGTTATGTGTGTGTGTGTGTGTATGATGTGTGTGTGTATATGATGTGTGTGTGTGTGTATGATGTGTGTGTGTGTGTGTGTGTATGATGTGTGTGTGTGTGTGTATGATG